AAATAATCTTTTCTAAACATTAAACATTGACTGTCAGTCTTTATTCACCTGTTTCTCGTTGTTTCTCATTAAAATTAATTAAAGTAAATAGTGTAAATTACATCACTAATGTCATAGAATAGCACATTGTAACGCAGTGTTACAACGTGCCCCATCTGTGCAACTGGAGTTTAAAACTGGTTAGTGTCTTCTGCTAGTAAGCATTAAAAAACTATCTGAACTGATAAATAACAGAATGGAGATGAAAATAATAGCAGATTTGTCTCATTTTAAATGAATAATAAAAACTGAGATAAAAAATTTACTTAAGCCAGAATTTAAATGTTAAGGGCGTAAATAAATATTCAAACCACGTGTGTTACAACTAACACCCCGTTACTTTGTGCATCGCACTCATCGCAAGTTTATTGTTAAATTGTTAAATGCCCTTACATATCTCTGTCACCATTATAAGTGTTTGATCACCGCATTTGAGTGATCATTGCAAAAAATGTGTTTATGTATATATTCTGTTTATGTATACTGTATTCTATATATAGTACCAGTCAAATGTTTGGACACACGAATGGGAAAGTGTCCAAACTTTTGACTGGTACTGTACTATAATATACACAAAGAATATCGGCTGATATATCGGTATCGGCCTTTTTTTTTTACATCCTAATATCGGTATCGGCCCCAAAAAACCCATATCGGTCGGGCTCTAGTTCTAATAACCTTAAAATGTCCAGATTCTTGTGATTATGTATTTAAAGGTAAAAAAAAACTTTTCTTAGAACATTCAAGTACAAATAATATCGCAAGGACGTTTTGAGAATGCTGATCTTTAAAAAATATTAGTGAAAGTTTTGACAATGTTCCCTGTTAGCTGGGAATTTACAAACTAAGGAAAGTTACTTATGAGTCAGTTAGTAGTTTACAGGCTACACTTTTGTGGTTATTTTACCTATGGGTTAACTAACAATTTCTCTGTTGTCTGTGTGAGAGTTAGTTAATGACTTTTCTCAACTTTTTGACATTATTTTGAAGAAAAAAAACTCTTTAAAATGCTAATTTTACTGCCATGTTTAATGCTACCATGGTAATGCCATGGTATTCATTGAAATACATTGGAGTATTAAGAAAATCTCATGGCATATGGACACTATTCATTCAGTACCAGACTGGTACCATCATACAACACAATTCTGGAGTTTTGTGATTGACCTATCCATACACGCATATTGGAGGGAAGTGTGTGCGTGTGTGTGTGTGTGTGTGTGTGTGTGTGTGCAGTAACATTTAAAGCACCAGTTCTTCTAAAGCGTCTTTGTCCCAAAAGTGTTGACCGACAGGACCCAGAGGTAAAATGAGGGCCTCTAGGGGACCACCCAGTCTGCAGGGCCCCACATTTGCTCTGAGAAGCCAGTTGCAAACAGACGCCACTCAAACTGAAGCCAAATTTTGGTGCTTCAGAAGACATAATTACACCAATTATACTGTGATGACTGCGGGCAGGACAAGATAGTGCTGTAATTGTGTACCAACCATCCTCACCCTTGAGCATGAGTTTGAGATACATACATAGAAAAGTTTTTAGTCCCAAAACTGTTGTATTATGTTATGACACAAAAACACAAGTTTTAAGGATAGGAAGACATGGACCCAGATCTATACAAACACGCTTGCATTAAGCAATATGCTGCATACACCCTTTACCAGCAGCAGGCACGTGCACACATAGACATAAAAGGGGCAACCCTCTACATTGCGAGTAAATCACTCGCATATGCGACTAAATCTTCACTCTGGGCGACTAAATGATGTCTAATATTAGCCAATTGCTAATACATTCTGAGATTTTACTCGCCAGTGTGAGTTGGAGGCTAAATATAAGTTTAGCTCAGATATATTTCACTCGCCTAACACTCTGACTGAGCGGATCAGAGTTTCACTCTCCGTCAAGCGATCTGAGCTGTTTTTCAGTTCATCTGAATGGATGTGCCTGTATTTAACGTACCGTAAACTCTAGTGTGAAGGCGCATGAATCGCCGTCGCTTTGTTTCACACACACGCAGCGAGAGAGGGAGAGAGAGAATTGACACGCTACCTATGCGCGCTACATGTAAACGATATTCTTTGTTGTATTTTGCTGTCAAAATAACGGAGTTCCTTTGGAATTCTTTCGCTTTTAAGAACTACCGCTTTCTCCGGTAGGGGGCGGAACTAATGCGCAAACGGCAATCTCATTGGCTGGCGCTCACCTATTATCGTCCCTGTTTTGATTTCAGCAAATCAGTTCGAGCGCAGTATATATATATATATATATATAGCTGGCGAGTAAACAAAAAAATGTACTAGCCAATGGCGATTCAATTACCAAGGTGTTCGTAGAGGGCTGAGGGGGCTTGAGCACCTGCCCTTTTTCTTCCTTGAGAGAAAGTGCCCTTTTTTCTGGGGGGTTTTTTTTAATTTTTTTTTTTATAAATAAAATAATATATGTATTATGTGTGCGTGTGTATGTTTCTGTTTGTGCACAGCTTTCTCTGTCAAACAAATAAAAAATACAAATATCAGGTCGGGTCGGGAAATGTTGAGGTTCTGTCGAGTTCCGATGCCTTTCTTCCCTCCGCGTCTCCGCGCAGGCGCGCAGCACAGCAGTGTAGCGCACACTGATTACAGACAGGCAGAGAGCCACAGAAGTGAAGCCCTCCCTCTCTTCCCAGTTGTGTTTGTCTTGGTGTGGTGGTGAGTGGTGATTATGAAGGTATTTTTGGTGCAAAACAACTGAGTGTCCGTTACAGCAGCATTTGTAGTTGTAGAGAATAGTCACACATGTGTATCAGTAAATCTGAAGTCACAGACAAAAGTTGCAAACTTGCAGATTTTTTTCTCTCTCCCACAAACACAACACAACAGTTACACGTTCTTGGATCCTTCACTGCAGGTGCACAAATCATATTCTACAAATCACAAATCAAGAAACTCGTACGCTCACAAGTTTTGCTACTATTGCTGCAGTGAATATGGTGCAAAACACATTCACACACCTGCATCAAAAATGTGAAATCACAGACGAGTTTTGTGCATCCGCAAATCAGTTTGTGAATTCTTGCAATGAGATTTGCACGCTTGTAGAATGTTTTTTTACATATATATTTTTTTCTTGGGTGCTTTTTCTAGCACAAACACAAGTGCATAACTACAACGGCGTGAATCTGCTGCTACGAGTCTCAAACACTGTTTTTCGCTTGCAAATGACAAGTTTCACGCTCTCTCCCTTATGCACCGCCTATCTGTGTGATAAATGGTGCAAAAGTGGATGAACAAAAGACTAAGCTACCTGTGCCCCAAATTTACAGCTAATTATCCAAAAGATGAAATGCAAATATAGTTAATTTGTCTAGCTAACATCCATGACTCATGAGCTACCATGAGTTAGCTAAAGTTTAGCTAAGGCAATATGTCATGCATATCAGGCTAACGTCGTCAGAATCGCCACATTGATATGCAAATCAGGCATTAAGTAACTAAAATGTGCTGACTTGCATACATTTGACACAAGGCATTGCAGATGAATAAGATAAACAAAATAACTAAAGCATACCACAACAGAACGTCCCCAGTTATTAGTTAATGACTTACATCAAGAGTCTTTTCCTTGAAATGTTATGTTTATATATGCAGATAGCTTGTTTTGGTTATTTTAGAAGAAATCTACAGAAGCAAACAGACGAGGGTAGTAGGATTAAAACAAACACCTTGATGTGTATTTTGGAAATTTCCTTTCCATTAGAGCAAAAGAAGACATGGAAGCAAAATAGACCAAAATCTCCAAATTGAACAGTACATGAAGTGTCCTGCCTTAAACAATAACTTCATAATTTTGATCTCAGGCTCCTCGTCATAATAACTATCCATTCTTCATGTTGTATGCTGATAGATCTTAACAGCCCTCCCTCAAATGTGAAACAAAGTTCTTGTCACCATCAGTTTGTGTGTGTGTGTGTGTGTGTGTGCATGGTGCAGTAAGAGTAATTACAACAACATTGTGAACTGATTATTTTGTAGACATCTGTTGAAAAATGAAATAACTGGGTGAGTGTGAGGGAATTAAAATATATTGGTAAGTAAGTCAGAGTTGTGTTAATATATTTAACATTTTGTTTAGGAAAAAAATTAAAATAAATATGAGAAGTGCCCTTTTTTCCACTTGAGCCCCTGCCCCTCAAAATGTCTGTGCAGTCTGTCCCTGACCAGCAGTGTAAATTCAATCGTGAAATGTGTCGTAAAGCACTCTTAATCACAGATCAATAGCATTTGTTGCCAACATAAATCCAGCAGGCGTGTTTGGTGCATTAAAGAGCTCTGAGCAAGAAGAAACAAATGAGAGCTGATGATTCTTTCTGCAGGATCAGACTCGTTTGTCATTGGCAGGAATGATGGGAACAGACGAACTCGGCCCTCCAACACAACACTAGATACTAAGACACACTGCAGTCTGCATGCATAGAGGCGGAGGTTTTGATCATTCTGATTGATCGGTTTTGTCTCAGTGCATGTTCCTAATGCATGTTCTTAATTTCAATGCACACAGTAATGTTCTCAAAGTGTCTTTTGTCTTTACAACTGACAAGTCTGAACAACTGAAACAAAAATATAATATTCCTTATCATTATCTGTCTTGTTTTCCACTAAAAATATCCAAACATTTTAAACAATATTTTCTAACTAAAATTAGTAAGGTTTTTGACCCTAGTGGAAGAACATTTATGTTCATATTTTTGTTTTATGAAGTTATCTGAAAAATGTGTGTGCATTTTTTTTGTTATACTCTCAAAATTAGATGCAAAACTTGTGTTGGAATGATGCAATTCATGTGTCATAAGCAGTGGCAGGCCGTGCATTTCACACGTAGGCCTTTTGCGGTGTCCTACCTGAATTAATTCACCTATTAATACCATCAATATGTCGCCATGGCTATAGAAACCATCAATATTATACAGAAATGCAGTATAACAGGGCATTGCATCACAGACGGGTATCTCATGTAGCGAGAATGAATGTCATTACTAAAGCAAGAAACCCAATTAACACAATTCAACAAGTCTCCTTTCACTGCAGCCACAGCTGCGCCACATATATCATCTCTAGCTAAAGAATCAATAGTAACCTAATCAAAATGACTAAAATAGTCCACCAGGATGTTCTTAAAGACATTTATTAACTGCTCCAAGCGTCGGTACTTCATGGCTCCTCGAGGTGGTGCTCAACACATGAATGAGGGAAACGTGAACATAAGTTAACTAGCCTTAGAAAAATAGTTTTTTTAATGGGCTGGCAGTGTGAGTAAATTAAATAACAGATCAGATCCCCCAGCCATGTTTAAGTCCAAAGTCTGGACCCACCTCGGCTTTTATACCATTGATGGGACAAACAAAATCAACAAAGAGTACGCTATATGCAAAAACTGCATTATTTGCATGTGCTTTAAACTTAAAGCCTTGCCGTTTAAACTTTTCATTTGCGTGCTGCTCTGACTCGCTGTCCTGAGCGCGCATGCTAAAAAGCGTAATCTTTCGCGGCTGATTGAGCTAATACTGTCAAAAACACACAAGGTTTACATATAAACACAGTTGGATGTGTCTAAAGTGAAAGTAAACAGTTGAGAGAAAAACGAATGCGTGCAGCTCTTAAAGTGACAGTAGACTAATTGTTCTAAACATGCTGCCTTTTGTCATTAAGGGGATAGTTCACCCAAAAATGTACTCACTCTCATGTTGTCCCAAACCTGTATTAATTTCTTTCTTGTGCTGAACGTAAAAGATATTTTGGGTAACCAAACAGTTGCTGGTCAGAAGAAGAAGAAAGAAACTCATTCAAGTATAAAGCAGCTTGATAGTGAGTAAATGATGACAGATTTTTCATTCTTGCTGAATTTTGGCAGAATTTTCAGCAGATTTGGACATGAATGAAGAGAGGAAACCTTTCACAGGTTTCCACAGGCATTTTGTTTTCATAGTTAGATATCGTTATGTATGATTATAGGATTGTCTAGATATAAAGTATCGCAGAATTGCTGTGTCGTGATACTATTGGTATCGTGAGCGATGTATCGTATCGTATCATGAGGTACCCTGTGATTCCCACCCCATGTGTTTTAACATGTACCTGCCAATTTAACATACTCCTTGGACTTTTCATCTTCACGACGAGTATCCTCACTGCCTGGTCTGCCAGTGCCGCTGTGGGAGGAAAAGGCCAGTTAGCACAGCTTGACTCGGAAATTAAGCGCTTAGATTCTTATGGAAACTTAAATGTTCCTTTATATCTTGCACATAACATCAGAATAAAACATATAAAGTGATTAAAAAATGAAAATTAACCTACCATACACTAGTGGACTTTCATCTTCACGATGAATCTGTCACAGAGTCGTTGCCGAGGAGGTGTGTGTTTGTTTTTCACGGTCATTTAGTACTACTGTATTTAGATTTACAGTAGGCCAATATTTTCCCAGAATGTATTGGAAATCAACAATACTATACTGTTCACAATGTATACAGTAAGAAAAGCTGAGAATATGGTAACTACACTGTGAAAACAACAAAAATTATTTACTGTGTGCTGTTTGCTACCTCTGACTACTAGTACGCTCTCTGACCATCCTATCAAAGGACGTGAAAATGCCGACGTTATTGTACGCCTGCTAGATGGCCCCGGTTTCATCAACTCAAAATCTGATTGGTTAAACCGTGCCATTTATTTTAAGTTACAGGTGTCCGCACTGTTGATTCTGAAGGCCTCAAGGCTGATTTATTTGACCCTGGCAACACATGATTGCTGAAATATGATTGCATAAAAGCTCTAATATAAACATAAACTACTGGAAGCAGCGCAACCAAGAGAAAAGCTATGAAATGAAGAGAATAGACTATTGGGAATAATTTAATACACATTCATGGTAAAAATATATTAAAACTAAGTCAGTGATTCTGATGTGTTTAGGCCAGCTGGGAAGGCCTTGCTGGCCCTGATGGCCCACCACAGGTCATAAGACTGGGTTGAATTTCATGGAATTACAATTCACTAGGCAAGGCATTTAACCATTTCATACGCAATGGTTAAAGCGCTTCACATAAAAAGTATTTTAAAATAATCATAACAGATGATATAGACATAAAATCAACAATAAAATGGAAAAGAATTATCTAAGTATATAATTAAAAACATAAAAAGAAAGGAGAGTTCCTATTACTGATATTCTGATTCAGCATCCAAATCACTTCAAATTCACACTCATGAATCAAATAAAAGCTTGTTCTTTAATTGTGAACAGGGTTATTATTTTATAATAATTTTTTACAATTTGTATTAAAACCATAAATATTACATTACTTGAAATCAAACAAACATTAACTGAAATAAAATGCATTTTCAGCTAGTTGCCAAGGCAACATTTCTCATTTTATAAAAGACCTCTTTGAATTGGTTTTGTGGGTGCAGAACAACACAAAGAATCAGAGAGAGAAAGAGAAAATAATGCCTGGGAGAGGAAGAGGAATAGTTCTAGGAGAGAGAGAAGTAGTTGGATCAGAAAAAGGGAAAAGAAGAGGTAGGGGAGAGGAGTAAGAATGTGTGCTGGGCTATGCATTTGTATGTTTGTTTTCCCCAACACACATGTGGAACCTATGAAAGCTTATTTCTGCCATGGAATGTAAAGGGTAATTGTGAGTTTTTTATCTCATAATTCTGACTTTTTTTCTCGCAATTGTGAATTTATCTCACAATTCCGATAAAGTCTGAATTGCAAGATGTAAACTCGCAATTCCAAGAATAGTAGTCCAAATTGTGAGATAAAAAGGTCACAATTACCGTTTTTACACGGAAACAAGCTTGCATAGTAACCAAAGGCCATATTGGAATTTTTGTTGATCACTGTCATCAGCTACCATGGGGGCACCAACCACATCCAACCCCCACCCACTGGAAAGCAATTTCAATCAAGGTTCCAATTGAATTTCTGCATAGGGGACCCTATTTTTTTCTATTGTACATTCTATAAAGTAATGACTCATTCAGTTGTAGACAGTATGTTGCCAAGAATGAACAAATAAAAATGTAAAATGGGTTTCAGTTGAAGGTAACTAAATTACAAAAAACAATGGATTTTTATAACTGAAACATGACAAGTAATGGAATTTTTGTAAAGTCATCAACTGTCAGTATTTTGACAGTCACTGTGCTATGATTGACTAAATGCTCCTGTTGGATAGAAAAGTAGTGCTAATGTTTTGACCGTATGACTCGATTTTGAATCGGGTTTGCTGTGTTTTGATAGAGTTAGTATATGTAGAAAAAGGTATTCAGCATTTTGAAATGTAGAGTTTGTATTTATTTAACAAAATGTGGTTTTGGCCAGAAAATGAACTATTTGGCTAATTGTGTGATGTAGGTGTGTTGCTGTGTTAAGAGTTTAGAAAAAGTATGTTAAGTATTGGTAAACGCTTGTTAGCAATTGAAAAAAACTGTAATGGGAATGTATTTTTGTTAACTGGCCTGGGCTTTCGCCGTTTTTCAGATATTTCTCCTCAGATAAAGATCATAGTAATCTCACGTGTGAGCATCTCAGATCCTTTGGTTGCATCTTAACCAAACCTCAGGACATCATTCTGAACTCACATCTCTACACTCCCACATTAATCCAAACTTGAAATGACAATTGAAAACCAACACATTTGGTCTTTTGTGCCACAACAAAGACGTGTTTAGTCAGGTGCCTGTTCACACAAGAGACGGATCACTGTTGACTCACAAATGGATGGGATCCATCATGAGGTAAATAAATATGAGCATGGGTGGTCTGACTCCACAAAAACACTGGATGAATGTACATATTGAGTTTATCCTGCCGTGAAACAGATAGTTAGTGTTTGCTAAATTAAGCATCACTAGTACTAATGTAGCGTATGTTAGTCTCAGTTTTTGCTGATGGTTTTGTTTTTCAGGGGAACGGCCATCTCAGGGATCGTGTTTGGTGTGGTGTTTTTGATGGGTGCAGTGGCCGCCATCCTTCTGTGCATCTGTATGTGTGTGAAGAACGGGCGTGGGGCGAGAGTGGGTGTCTTCAGCTCAACATATATCAACACTGTGACTCAGGGTTACCCAGGTAACACAACAACACACAAAAGCCTTCACACAGCACACTAGAGCTGACTAACTAAAACCAGCATACTGTCAGACACAAGGGATTCATTTGAGTGGATTCAATCATTTTAACTCGCGCAGTATTTTGTAAATTATAATCAATTAATTACATTATTAGCAATATTATCGATTTTATTGCACTGACACTATCGGATGAGAATAAAATTTGAACTGAATTTCAGCTTTTTTTTAATGATACTTTGCAACATCAAACTGTTATTGAACTGAATCAACTAATTAACTGAATAAACATTGAACTGACTAATGATAATATTTTCTATAGAGCTGCTTTTGAATTTCTTTCATTATAGATTAATTTTGCAACATTAACACTGATATTTTCCTGTTTATTACTGTAAAGCTGCTTTGAAACAATCTTCATTGTATAAAGCGCTATATAAATAAACGTGACTTGACTTTTTCTGATTTTCAATCACTTTCAAAATTTGCTTCTTAAACAGTATTGCTGGGTTTTTTGGAAATAAATTTATTTCGTATTTTATGGACTATTTGTATTTATTTTAAAACGGCAAAAAACGCGTTTATTTTCATACACAAAATATTTCGTCAAGTTAAAACAGGGTTTCTGCAGGTCTTAAAGTTCTTAATTCACCCTTCCACCAATCACTCTCAAATATGCAAATATACACCCTTTAGGGGTAAATAGGGTACAAAGGTGTACCTTTTGAAAGGGTACTGTCCCAGTGACAGCTTTTGTACCTTTTTTTCTAAGAGGGATTAAGGCCTTAAAAAAATCTAAATTAAATTCATAAAATCATGGCAGAAAATTAATATCTCAGTATATTTGTTTTGTTTTTCAGTACAATGTCTAAACATTCTTAAATCATGAACAATGAAGATATAAAATTTGATTAAAACAAGAACAAATATCTGTCAATGGAGAATGAAAACTTGTTTTCCCTTTGAATGAAGTAGATTTTTCTGATGCAGGACAATTACATTTACTGTAAAAAAAATTTTTTTTAAAAACACCCCTCACATTTTTGTAAATATTTTATTATATATTTTCATGTGACAACACTGAAGAAATGACACTTTGCTACAATGTAAAGTAGTGAGTGTACAGCTTGTATAACAGTGTAAATTTGCTGTCCCCTCAAAATAACTCGACACACAGCCATCAATGTCTAAACTGCGTTCCCAGTATTTTGAGTGTAAGTCAGTATTGCTGCTCCCCCTCCTCACATTCATTCCCTCGCCGTCCGGTCAGCTGACTCGCCATCGCAGGCGCATCGCATTCTTCTCAGCGCTGACACGATTCACACACCGACATTTTACACCAAACGGATATTTACTCGATACAGACCAGCGCTATTTGTCAGAAGAACGGAGAAGAGGAGCAGAATGGGGTGTCGAGAGGTTTTCATATTACTGATGGCCGCGACATCGACGATCGCTGCTGAGGTAAGAAAGCGACGCCGAACGCTGATCAAAGACGATCAAGCGATTCATTCTAACCATAGATAACCTACACTAGAACACTTTACAGCCGCCATAGTCTTACAATATAGATCGCGACGATGTATCCCTCTGTTATTTATGTCGTTTCTAAACCAGAATCAGGTGTAATATTTAACGATTATGCTCTCGTTTAGAGTCCTAGAATGTTACGTAAGGAATTTAGTTAACTCTTTTTGTGTAAAGATTGTTTAGTAAATTCTCGCGAACATTATTATACGCGAACGTTTCGTGCGACCGGGCGCTGTGTGTGAGAAGTGTATTAAATCCGACATCACGGATGAACAAATACTGTGTAACAGATGCGCTTATTAAAAATGATAAACAAACTGTCAGGCTGAACGGGATAGTGAGTGGCAGCGCCGTTTAAACGGCACTCGAACATAATGTGACATTCGCTGATTCAGTGATCACATTAAGTCGCCTTTATTTATATAGCGCTTTATACAATACAATACATTGCATATTGTTTTATAATGACTCTTTCTGATGTAGATCCAGCTTGTTTTTGGAGGAATGAAGGTGTTCAGTGGCCTGTTGGGTTGGGATCAAACGAGCTCCTGCTGGATAATCTGGAACGGGAAAATAAGAGTTTAAGTTTTATCCAGCAGGAGCTCATTCCAATTGATTCCGCGTTATGATTCACTCTCACCCGAGGGTTTCATCGACTAAACAAGCCGTGTTGTTTTCACTGGGTGTGTGTGTGTGTGTGTGTGGAGAAAATGATTTTTCGGAATTCGTTTGATCTGTCCTTCGGCCTTTATGAGGCGACGTTTCTTTAAAACGTGACTCAATAAATAGTTGCGGTAATGTAGGTAGATACGTTCTGTTCCGTTCCCTTGAGAGGAACGCGTTGTGTGTGAACCCCCCCCTCCTCCCTCCAAAGATGGCGACGAATCACCGCAGCGGCTGAACTGAGAAGGGTATAACTGCAGCTTGGAGATCTCCAAATGGGGGCGGGAACTCCAAAACGGGGTGGGAGCTCCAAAATAGGCCGTGGCTTCCTTCCATTGACAGACAGGCACATGACCCCCAATCCACTTCAGTGCAAACTCCGCCCCACAGCTGATTCTAAAGATTTTATTGGTTGTTATGCTACAAAAAATGCTAACCCCTAAACCTACCCCACACCTGACCCTAACCTTAACCAGTGAAATTGACTGCACGGCGGGATTGGCGCTGAATAGCGTGGGAAAGAAAGGTGCAGTTCAGGAGGTAAACAGTTGATAAGATTATGCGTTATGAGATCGTTCCGTAACTCCCCAACCGGACCTCACCGGACAATGGCACCTTTTTAGTTACACCCAGCGTCACTACCCCCTCCTACCCTGCGAATTTCGAGCCCCGGGACGCCCCTGTTGCTTGGAACAAAGCCATAGAGATTAAAGTCTTTCCCCTGCGCTGCCCTGGGACGGCTCGCCAGAGAGCTCGTGGGTGATTCCCGTTTACATCATGAAGCAGACTTTCAAACTCCAGTCTGAACACCACTGGCCACAAGCTTTGGGCTCTGCTCTCACGGAGCATACTTATTTATATAGCATATTTTATTTTAGATGAACTAGAAACCATGTTTAATTTGTAAAGTTTTATTTTGAAATGTAAGTCAATAACAATTGGCTGGAGCCAGAGCCAAT